CAGCATGAACCTCACATATCTCGTCCTCACTGTCTGCCTGGGCCACCTCCTGGGTAAGTCCTGGCTTTTCATCAATGCACCCTTCTTCTTCCTCCCAGGAAACTCTCAACAGCCTTATCAAGGATCATGGGGAAAATCAATGGGGAAATACCACCGAATAGAGAGCAATCATTGCAAAGCATCTTCCCATATTTGCTACTTTGTAAGGGTTCATTCACAGAGATCTGACTTTTGTAAAGGAAAAGAGAAGGGAGCAAAGAGAGACCTCAGATCCTTTTAGTTTTTTTTTTCACCTTCAAACCATCTCCCTCTGCTTCTCTCTTCTGATCCACCTGCTGTCACCACAGGACATCTCAGCTGTCTCTGCAGTCCCACATCTCTCCTCTTTAATGCAAATTCAGAGATCCCATCGAAACTGCCCAAGGCACTTTCCAGCTCTCATCCCACTGACTCCAACAGCTTTCCAGTTTTTCCCAGGCTGACAACACAGCCAGGACTCCCTCTTTCCAAACTCAGAACTGTGTGTACTCAGCGAGTGAGGAACCATCAGAGTTTACAGAGATGATGGTGATGAGAAAGAGAATGAACGTTTTTGCTGTGCCTCTGTGTGCCCCTCAATCTGCTGCAGATGTGCTGGTTCCAGCACACAAAGCTCAGGTGGGACAGGCTGTTCCCTGGTGCTCTGAGCAAGAGGAGCAGGAGCAGGGACACAGCAGAGCTCTCCTCAGATTCGTACTGTCATGACAGCTCTGAAATGCTGTAAAAAATCACTCTCACCTCACTGTCTCCGGACTTTCCTACAGGGCAGGAAGATTTCTCCACCAGGCTTTTGCATCCAGATTGCTTTATCTTGTATTTCCCTGTGGAGCTGCTGACCTTCACTTTCTTCCAGGCACCATGGGACAGATCATTGTCAACCAGGAAGAAGGACGAGTCCTGGTAAAGGAGAGAGACCCCTTCCACGCCACCTGTACATACCAGACCAGAACCTTTTACGGATTGCTGTGGTACCAGCAGAGGAAAGGACAAGCCCCACAGCTGCTCTCCTTCCAGGCAGGGGCTGGCCAGAGGCAGAGCGGCCGTATCAGCACGTTGCTGAACACCACGGGCAAATACAGTGTCCTGCAGGTGGAGGCAGTGGAGGTCTCTGACAGTGCCTTGTACCTGTGTGCTGTGCGAGACACCCTGGTGC